GACTTCCATCCCCAAGTCCTCTCTGCCAATCCCACCATTGGCTTCCATCCCCAAGTCCTCTCTGCCAATCCCACCATTGGCTTCCATCCCCAAGTCCTCTCTGCCAATCCTTCCACTGGACTTCCATCCCCAAGTCCTCTCTGCCAATCCCACCATTGGCTTCCATCCCCAAGTCCTCTCTGCCAATCCCACCATTGGCTTCCATCCCCAAGTCCTCTCTGCCAATCCCTCCATTGGCTTCCATCCCCAAGTCCTCTCCACCAACCCCTCCACTGGCTTCCATCCCCAAGTCCTCTCTGCCAATCCCCCCATTGGCTTCCATCCCCAAGTCCTCTCCGCTAATCCCTCCATTGGCTTCCATCCCCAAGTCCTCTCTGCCAATCCCTCCACTGACTCCATCCCCAAGTCCTCTCTGCCAATCCCTCCACTGGACTCCATCCCCAAGTCCTCTCCGCCAATCCCTCCATTGACTTCCACCCCCAAGTCCTCTCTGCCAACCCCTCCACTGGCTTCCATCCCCACTCCTCTCTGCCAACCCCTCCACTGGCTTTTATCCCCACTCGACTGTGCCAATCCCCCCACTGGCTTCCATCCCCACTCCTCTCCGCCAACCCCTCCACTGGCCTCCATCCCCTGCCCCTCTCTGCCAATCCCTCCACCGGCTTCCATCACCTGCCTCTATGCAAATCTTTCTATTGGCCTCCATCTCCCACCCCTCTCTGCCAATCCCTCCACGAATAGCATTTAAATACTAAACAACATACAAAATCGTCTACAACTCTGCCCACAGCTACATCACCAACCTCATATCAGAATAGATCAAAATTTTCCTCTTCACTCCTCCCAAGACCTCCAGCTATCTAGTCTCCTCTTCCCATGATCACCTCTAGGACTTCTTTAGAGCCTCTACCAAGCTCTGGAACTCCCTACCCCAATGTATCACACTATCTGTTGCGCTGTCAGCCTTCGAGCAATCCTTGAAAACACATCGCTCATCCCTCACAGTGTTTACCGCTGGTATCACTTGCCCGCCCTTCTAGAATGTCCCTTCTAGATTGTAAGCTCTCATGAGCAGGTGTCGCCTAACCCTCTTGTATTGAATTGTATTGTGACTGAGCTGCTTTCCTTTATGTTTTAAAGTGCTGCCCAAACCCAGTATAATAATACCCGGTCCTCCCAGTTATAGGGGAGCATACGACTCCTTCCAGGATGCAGTCCTCAGGCCAAAGCATCCAGCCACCAGGTCCAACCATCAGTTGAGAAGCATGACGTTAAACACAGTGTCAGCTCTGACATCAGATGACACAGTGCTCACACAAAGTTTGAGCTCTGGGCTACTACAGAGGATGGAGAGGTGGAAGAACACACAAAGTATCACTGCGTGGAGGGAAGGGTTGTTCTCACTGCCCTGAATGGGCAAAGTGACGATCTTCTTAATTTGTCAGGGTATTTCTATATAAAATTACAAAAACTGATGAACTATGACATGTACAGAAACTAAAATCAAACTTTTCTGTGCACTGTAATGCAAGGGGCCAGGAGTCTGTGCTGGACAGATAAATGAATCAACCAAAATAGCCTATTGTGTACAAATTAAGCAGGACACAAACAATACAGGGGAGACCCTTCAGGAACCAGCCTTTGTACAACCAAACTGATTCAAAGAGGTAAAACATTGCAAATGAAGTCTAAGGATTAGATAATCATAAAACCACAATTGACAATACTGAGAGAAACTTAACTTCAAGGTCAATAACTACAAGTGTTTAATCAAGAAATCCAAAGGCTAAAGGATATCACAACTACAAATGAAAAATTAACAAAAAACCCTTACAAACTCCAAGACAGTTAATCCACCTGATTGTCCCAGGAATGAGATCAAATATGATTATTGTCTGAGGTTGAGTAAATTATCATACACATCCAAGGCTTACTCAACTGAATGCAAACGATATGAGTGAATCATACCAATCAACTACCATTTCTGAACCGATCAATTGGAAGAAAGTAAAATAGTGGTTGGGGAGTCGCCAATACGGACAATGCTTTCAAACCATATAAAATACCAAGAGAGAGGAAGAAATGAAAAAAAAAAGAAGGAGGAAGAGTCTGAAGAAAACTTCCTGGATATAACAAAAGGACTGTCACTCATTGACCATCGCTAAAGACTTAACCCTTGCTGCCTAAAACGAGCCATCATCTCATCCAATAAGACTCTGAACATTTTCTTTTGAAGGATTGGTGAGATATTGATTATATATGAAGAAGAATTAACTTTCTTTACTCCAAAATCATAGCGATTACATTTTATTCGTTTTTTTTTTACAATTCTAATTAACCGTGTGCAGGGTGAATTCTTGTGATAATTTTTCATATCTTTCTCTATTTTATTCCTGAGATTGTATTGTGTATGGTTAAATTGGGTACAGATTTGTATGTAACTCGTTGCCATTGTAAGTATACTAGCCTGTTTTGCTTGTTGTCCCTATTATACTAGTAAACCTATCATCTTCAGAAATCGTTAGGATCATAGGGAAACTTTTACTTTTGAGATACGACTCTCTCTTTCCTATGGCCACGGAGAGTAAGAAACAATCTTAAAAAGGTGTCTAGGTATTTTTATTTTTCTGATAATCCATTTACATTTATTTGATTGTGTGTTTGAATTGTAATCACCAGTAATTGATGTTTTGTACAGAAATATATGATTATACTTGTATATTAATACATTATTTTGATTTATTAGTGTAATTGGGAGATATTTATATATTATGGTAAGAAATCACCATAAGCTGAAAAGAACTCAGGGAAGTGGTTTGGGGTGTATTATCAAGTGTCTGAACTGAATTCATACTGTTTGTTAAGTTATTTATTACTTGCCGTAAATCGGCTGGAGGCACTGTCTATTAAATCTAAATATAATTCAGACACCACCCTATTATTAATATTTCACCAAGATTTGATACCACTCAATCACAACAAATTAAAAGGGAAGCCGCACTCTTCTGCACTTCTCATTTCATAAACACTTCAGAGAGTAGGTAGCCTGCCACAAGGGTACGTCTTGACCTCCTCACCTCCAAGTCGCCCCCTTCAAATGACCAGATCTCCTGCCCGCCCTCCACCTTCCACACCTTGATGAGACCACTCATGTCTCCTGTAGAGACCATGGCGGAGTCGTGACTGAAAGCTGCACATGTGACGGAGTCCTTGTGACCTGCGGAGAGAGAGTAACCAATAAGAAAGAGCCTTGCACAAGAGAGCACAACCTGAATCTGGTTAGGTTGTAAGATTTGATGGTTAAACTGGTGTAGAAGTAATATTAAAAACTTGTATCACTTAAAGTAAATCTACAGGGTTTGTAATTATATTTTATTACGGCCAATACCAGAAAAAGAATAAAAATTTCCCTTCTTGAAGTCCCTTTTTTCCCCAGGTAGATCTTGTACTGAAATATATCTGAATGATTCAGACTAGGGTAACATACTCGTCTGTTACTAGTAAAGACTGTAAACCTGGTGTTGGCAACTCCGACCCTCTAACTCTTCTTTAACTGCATTTTCTATCATGCCTGTGCCTCTGGGAGTCATGCCTGTAACCGACAGTCTTGCAATGCCTCATGGGACTTGTAGTTCCACAACATCTGGATGGACAGAGTGGCCAGCCCCTGCTGTAAACAGTCTGCTGAAACTATAAAGGCAGTGCTGGGCTTTCCTATTAGAAAGCCCACGGCACCTTTCAAAATAGAATGCCCTGTAATGCCCAGTAAGTATATCTTCTGTTTTGACGCACTCCACCTCGAATTTATTTACCGGTGCATTCAAAAAGGGTCTCTCCATCACTTATTCTCCAAACATAGGCTTTGTCATCTTCTCCCCCAGTCACCGCAAGGGTGCTGTCCTTTGGATCCAGGCTGACACAAAACACGGAGCCTGAGGAGACATAAAGCAGAATTTGTTAAAGCAGCACACACAGATACACTTTCCAAATCATCTACATGGATGAGCATTGAAGTGGAAGTACAGTGAAATACCCTTGCAGTGCCCCCGTCCCCCGTCAGGAAAACCAAGAAATAAGATGCAAACAAAGTGAAGGTTAAAAAAAAACAAAGGTTTCAATTAGCTATTTTAATAAATACAATATAGAGAAGATGTAGTCAGAGCCGAGCCAGGTCTGGGAACACAGAGAGCAGGATGAACGAGTACAATAGGCAGAGTCTGGAACCAGGAGATCAGTAGACAAGGACCATACACAGAGCGCAGGGACAACCAGAGAGCACTTGGTAGGTCTGAACAAAGGCAAGGGCGGAAACAAAGTGAAATCACTGATGATTATATAGTGAACTGGAGTCACATCATCACTGCGAGACAGGGAGTTGCCAGAAGTTTGTCAATAGTTGCAGAATGATGAAGCTTACAGGTGTGGGCATAAGAGGGTGCCTAGCAGCAACAGTCAATGTCAGAAACACTGCACAGAAGATGAACCTGCAGCTCAAGTGCACAAGGAAGGGTAAAAAATCCCTGACTTACGACTTACACCCCCCACCCCGTACTGTAAGGGTTAATGTTTTTGTTGCCTATGGGTAGAGGTATACCAGGTAATACTAAGCATTACACCTTATCCCTATAAGCCTTGGTAGAAATGAGCATTAAACCCTTGCAGTGCAAAGGGTGGGGAGCTCCCACTGCAAGGGCAGATTGACATCAACTAAATACATTTCAGATGCAGCTAAACGAAGAGTGTACAAAGTCTTACAGTTTGGTTTTCCTGGGGTTTTGTTTTTTTTAAGAAAGCAGCCACAGCCTGATAAGAAAAGTCTGTACCCTGCCACCATGCTGCAAAGAGGGACCCCTGGTCTATGTGTGGAAGTAGTGGTCTTCCTGCAAGGGGGCCACCAAGCCCCCTGCTGTGTCTGACTGGAGAGCTCAAGCCCTGACTCAGAGGAGGAGTGCTGGACTTCTGCAGAGAGACCATTGCATGTACGCAGAGAACTTCCACTTCTCTGCAGCATGCTGGCAGGAGACGGGCTTTCTTTGACTCAGGCTGTGGCTGCCACCTGAAGAAAACATACTAAGTCCCAGTTCACATTGAGCGGATTACCGCGCCGATTTCCGCTCGAAAATCGCGCATGTTGCCGCGCGATATCTCACTCGTCCAATGATTTTCAATGGAGCTGTTCAATTCTACAGCTCAATGTCGCCGGTAGCTCGTCGCTTGTGCAGGACCCTTTTTGCGCGGATGGCGCGCGATTTTGCTTGTATTTTCATGCAGCCCAATATGAAAGGTTGTGCGATCGTCGCGTGAAAAGTCGCGCTATATCGCGCTGCTACAATCGCGCGGAAATCCGCACGGGTTGCATGTCGCTCAGTGTGAATGGGGTGTAAGACTTTGCACGCCTTTTGGTTTTGCTGCATCTGGGATTGTTTTTAGCTGATGTCAACGGAACGTTCAGTGGGATTTAATAAGCAGAAATTTGCCGATCTCAGACACAGAAAAGTCACATGCAGTTGGAAGCGTCTTTGTACATTACCTGTATGTTTAGAGTAAGTCAGCTCGCTGTCGTCATGAGGCTCGGTTCCTTCCTCTACACCTTCGTCCTCCGTCTCCAACTCATCGCCCATTTCTCCGTCCTCAGGTTCATCCGCGAAGTCCACATCCTCCATCTCGTCAGCCAGGTCATCTGGGAAAGATCATCAATATAAGACGTTACAGTGACAGCTTTCTGCCAGCAAACTGTATATCAATGTTCCTCAGCACTGTGTCCCGTGCCAAGGATGTGTTATCACAAGTCCTACAGCAGGACGAAAAACTGGTACCCCAGGCAAGCGCTAGTTATATGTGCTGCATCTGATGGAGACCCTTTCAGATACAGCAGAGGTAGCTGGGAGCGAGGCTGACGGGACTGGTCTAATAGCCAGCCAGGATCGTAGCTCAGGTGAGCATAACTCTTGTTATTTTAGCTCACTAAACAAAACAAAAAACAGCACTTAAACCTTGCATTTTTGTTTGGGGAGGGGGGGGGGGGGGCAGCCTCACTGCAAGAGTTAAGATTTTATTTGCCTGGAGTTTTCTTTAAGTGGTAAATCTGTTGCAGATCTTCACATTTTCCTGGCCGCGATTTCAGGCACAAGGATCGTAAATACACAAAAAAAGGTCCCACAGGCTTTACTAAAAGACACGGAACTTTGCGTGCTTTTAAAAGGAGAACTAGGAGGTGAGTGATTTTCACTCACCTCATAGTTCAAGCCGACGTGTGACAATGAAACTGTCACAGGTCGGCTCTATAGACCGGGAAGTGAGGGAACACATACCGGCGCTCGCTCACTTCCCGATCGTCTCCCTGCAGAGAGCTGTGACTGTCAGACACCACTCCCCGCAGGGATTCCCCTCCCCCCTCCCCTCTCTGATCCTCCAGCGCTGACTGGAGAAACGGACGGGGAAGGGGGCGGGTACAGCTGGCTCCACCTCTAGATAGGCAGAGCCCGCTGTCACTCACGCAGCTGGGTGGATCTCACCAGCATTGTCGGGATCCGTCCCGGTTGCGGTGGTCTCAGTATATAGGGAGCTGTAGCTTGCAGTATACTGAGCTTTGAGTTACGGGAGGACGCTAGTTTATGTCCTTCCATGACCCTTAAGAGAACTATGAGGAAAAACACTGACCCCCGTAGTTCTCTTTTAATGGTGTTGCTAATTTGCTTACTAAATGGCCTCCATAGAAAAACAAAAATATAAAGTGTAAAAAATATCCACGGTGAAGAATACAGAGAGACATTGATGTCACTGCATCCATCAAGTGTGCGTCATGGGAGGAAGTCACATGTTTCCTGATACCATAAAGCTGTGATGGAGAAAGGAGTGGTATCTGTCTCATAAGGCCTCATAGCCAGGGAAAAGCGGGAGTATGTTCTCTCCTGACCTCTATAACGCCAAACATAGCAGCACCAGAATACAATTGACACAGGAAAAGCATGCCACAGGTGTATATACAAAGCTGCAGTAGCAACTCTATATGTAGTGTGTATTTTCTTCTATAGGCAATATGATGCCCCCCGCTACATAGAGACTACAAGTCCCAACATGCACTACCAGCACAGAGACTTCCAAGCAGAATGCAGCACAGGACGGTACCTGGGTTTGGCTCTGCATCATTCAGCTCCAGCACTTCGATGATCTCTTCGTCTTCGTGAAACACAATAGCCTCCTCAGCCTGCCCTTCATCCGGGCCTGGCGCTGGAGGCCCTCCGGCACCGCCGCCACCCTCCATTGCCTTGCGAGCACCGGGACACAGGGTGGCCGAGTCAAATCTGTAAAGATCAATAAAGTCAGAAACAAACCCGACATGTTTTAAAATACAGCAAAGAGGTGAAGATCTCAGAGGGCCAAGCTGGCCACTACAGACAAACGCATGGCACATACGGCAACTGTGTCACAAGATGCCACTCAACTTCCTATAGGAAACCCATCAGGTACCACAGACAGGGGGTGCCAATGGCATCCAGATCAGCAGTTCTCAACCTTTTTGCGTCACGGCACCCTTAGAAAGTGTGACCCCTCCAAAATCCATACAAGACTCTTATCCCATATTAGGTGTCTAGTATGAATTTTAAGAGGCGATCCCGTGCAAAAATAAAAAAATGGTGCCCCCCCCCCTTCTCATCAGAAGCCCCTCCCCATTTATATCAGGAGCCCTCTTGACAACAGAGGCAACTCCCTTCACATCAGAAGCCCACCGTGCCCCTTAGTGTCCCATTCACACCACGGTGGGTTTGTTTCCTGCATTTGGCACACGTCCCCATTGATTTTAATGGGTTCCTGGACGCGCAACAAATGCGGGAATGTAGTGCATGGAGCAAATTCTGCGTTTTTCTTCCCGCGCTTATGCCCATTTGAACTCTCTGGGAAAAAAACAAAACGAACATTTACTCGGCCGTGTTTGGGGTGCCATTAAACCAAAACTCTACCCCCCTTTCACTAAAACTCACACCAGGGTGGGTAGAGTTTCGATCTGTGACCCAAAACTCAGCTATTGCCCGATATGTCCTGACAGAGCCGCGCCACAGCCGGGACGGATCCAGACAGGCAATGTGGTAGGGATCCACCCCATCACCTGATTGACAGCTCTACAGGCAGAGCCAGCTGGGCCCGCCCCCTTCCCCGTCCATCCAATCAGCAGGGAGAAGATCGGGAAGCCAGCGATTGGTGGTAAGTTTTCGCCGAGTTCCCGATCAATACAGTCGATGTGTGACAGCTTCAGTGTCACATGTCGGCTCTACTTATGGGGAAGACTGTATTTTACCCTCCTCATAATTCTCCTTTAACTAGTAATAGCAGCACATGTGCGTTCCGCATTTGGTGCATGTTTTGTGCATGCGCACCTTTGTGCGTGTTTGCCACATATTCCTGATACGCCCAAGTGTGAACGGGGACTAAGGAAGGCAGAAGGCACCACATGGAACCACGGCAGCCTGGTTGAGAAAGGCTGATCTAGATGGAGACAGGAATATCTGAGCTCTACTGATGGATACATTTTATTCCAAGTCAATGGAACTTTGATACTTTGTTGTTTTTGTTACATTGACATTTTTTAACCACTTCACTGCTGGAACCTTTTTTCACATGTACAAATTGACATTTTAGGCCTAAAGAATAATTAAACTGCCCAGAATTGCTGTGGCCAGAGCACAGGCCCTGATATCCTGTGTTAGGGTGGCTCCTTTACCTTGCAGAGTCCTATGAAGCCACCCTTGTGTGTGCTAGTAAGCTGTGTGTCTCCCCACAGGCATGCTGGAGACTGCTCTGTCCCTTGTGATCTTGTACTGGGCAGGAATTTCAGGGAAGCTGAGCTGAGAGAGTTGGAGCTGTTCGGAAACACAATGTCTGTAAGCGCTTGGGCAGAAATTTAAAGAAATATTTTAATGTAAGAAACAGGATGTCATCTACCCCTGTTTCCCCTAAAATAAGACCTAGTTTGGTGGTAGCATGTGAGGGGGAACTTGAAGAGCAGGAGTGATGGTCTCAGCCTGCAGGGACATACTGTATTAAAAGGGATGACAGGGGACTCCCTCCGGCCAGCGCAGTGACAGGGAGCACTCCAGTACCATACGTCACCAACTGCTGTCCCCCTGAAGGCACTGCTAAATGTAATGGTACTGTACTGTGTACCGGTAAATGGTACTGTACTTTACCGCACTGTCCTCTGTCTGATTTCCCCACCGCTGCACTGCTGGTACCACTGCCAATGATGGCAAAGGAAGCCGGCGCAGTAGAAAGCAAGGCTGCGGCGGATGGAGCAGAGCCGCATTAGCCGATACTTGCTCTATAGCGCCAGTTACTGTGACAGGCGGAGTGATACCACATAACTTTAGAGTTGTACATTTTGTTGCACATTAAAAAAAAAAAAAAATAAGAATAAAAAGGAGGAGATTATATCTGTGGATCTACAGATCACTGTGACCCCGCCTCTTACACCAAAGACAACCCCCGCTTATGTCGCTTTTTATGCTACCGTACAGTTCACTTTAAAGCTGATCTCCGGGATGAGCCAATATTGTCCTCATACAAATGTCCTCTGTATTCTTCCTTGGTAAGATTTGTGTATTTCTTCCGGATCTGTGCAGTAATCCAGTGTGAGACTTGGAGCTTCCTGTCATACAGACCAGTCACTGCTGCTCTCTCTCCTTGTGCAGGGTGACTGGTCTCGTCTCCGCCCCTTCTGTAATAAAGACCAGTCGCTGCTGCTCTCTCTCTCCTTGTGCAGGGTGACTGGTCTCGTCTCCGCCCCTTCTGTAATAAAGACCAGTCGCTGCTGCTCTCTCTCTCCTTGTGCAGGGTGACTGGTCTCGTCTCCGCCCCTTCTGTAATAAAGACCAGTCGCTGCTGCTCTCTCTCTCCTTGTGCAGGGTGATTGGTCTCGTCTCCGCCCCCTCCTGTAATAAAGACCGGTCACTGCTGCTGTCTCTACTTGTGCAGGGTGACTGGTCTTGTCTCCACCCCCTTCCTGTAGGTTTCTGTAGTGGGTGAAGCTCCATCACACCACTGCTGTCAATATATATATATATATACACATACATATATACACACACACACACTGCTACAACTACAGTGAAGTCACTACAAGCCTACTACAGCAGTAAGATGCACACAGACGTTAAAGCCAGGAGCCCCTCCGATATCTGATACAGGAAACACGAACCAGGTACCACACAGGGTCGCCAGCACATGTGTCCAGCTCGGGGCCCCCCCGGTACCAGAGGACTGTCACGATATCACTCACCTGTCACTGAGGCGGCTCAGCTGGGCCCTGGAAACCCCCGTGTGGCCCCTTCCTCGCAGCTGCACTCTAACACACGTGGGCACTTCTGGAGCGTGACGTCGCCTGTCACGTGACACAGAGGAGGCCGGGCGAGAAGCTACTTAATCATGTGACCCGAGAGGGAACACTCAGCGCACGGGAAACAGCGCAAGTCAAGGGGGCGGGGGGATGGATAGATCACGTGAGCTTCTCCTTTCACGGAAGGGCCTGTGACGGCTTAAAACTTCATCTCCCAGGATGCCTCGCTCCAAACAAGAAGTGACGTTTATCGGGAGTCTGGAGAAAGATGGCGGCGCCCTGTGCCAGGATGTTGATGTCAGGGAGAATGTGGAGTAGCTGGGGTGAGGACATTGTGGACTTGTTATGTGGTTTATATCCCTGGCTGGTGTTCTATGTAGCAGTGCCATATAATCTATATGGTCATACCACTTTCCCCATTCGTTTAGGCTGTTTGGCACTATGTCCAGATTGTGACATTTTAGCATGTCACCAATTCATCTGACACAAAAATGTGTTTTTGATTAAAAATATGTTTGCTGGTACAGTGTATGTCCAGTCAAAAGTGTTCTTTTATATATAAAGAGAGATGGCTGTGGGTTGGCCCAACGCCAGGTGCACCCCGCCTCGTCCCTGAAGATATATCTATACAACAATGGATGACAACGTTTAAATAACGTCGGAGCGCCATCCTTTGTTTTATGGGGTGCATATATTTATTTCCTTGGTTTTTATTGGAAATAAACTAAACAAATGAGAAAAAAAATGCATTTCCTGGACCACAGAGCAATGGAAGAAGGTGGCCCAGTCTGGTGTGTGTGTGTGTGTGTGTGTGTGTGTGTGTGTGTGTGTGTCTCTCTTACCTGGGGAAGAGATGGCACCAGGATGCACTATGGGAAGAAGACAAGCCGGCGGAGGCAGTGTGATGCTTTGGGCAATGTCCTTCTGGTAAACCTAGGGGTCCTGCCATTCATGTGGATGTTACTTTGACACGTACCACCGACCTAAACATAGTTACTGACCAAGTACACCCTTTCATGGAAACGGTATTCCCTGAGGGCAGTGGCCTCTTCCAGCAGGATAATGAGCCCTGCCACACTGCACACAATGGTTGAAGAATGGTTTGAGGAACAGAATAATGAGTTTGAGGTGTTGACTTGGCTTCCAAATTCTCCAGATCTCAATCCAATCGATCATCTGTGGGATGTGCTGGAGAAACAAGTCCGATCCATGGAGGCCGCACCTCACAACTTACAGGACTTTAAAGGAGAACTATGGGGTTAAGGCTTTTCCCTATAGTTCTCAGGGTAACGGGAGGACACAAACTAGCATCCTCCCGTCAACCTAGGCTCAGTATACCGCGAGCTACAGCTCTCTGTATACTGAGACGCTGAAGCGGATCCCAACAATTATGCCGGGATCTGCCCAGCTGTGTGAGTGACAGCTGGCTCTGCCTATCTAGAGGCAGAGCCAGCTGTACCCGCCCCCGTCCGTTCCGCCAGTCAGCGCTGGAGGATCAGGGAGAGGGGAATCCAGCCCCTCCCCTGTCACGGCAGAGAGCTGTGACAGGATCGAGAGGGGAGCGAACGCCGGTATGTGTTCGCTCACCTCCCGATCTACTGAGCCGACCTGTGACAGTCTCATTGTCACAGGTCGGCTAGAACTATGAGGTGAGTGAAAAGCACCCACCTCATAGTTCTCCTTTTAAGGTTCTACTACTGATGGCTTGGTCCCAGATACCACAGCATAGCTTCAGAGGTCTAGTGGAGTCCATTCCGCGACAGGTCAGGAAATGGGGAACCTACTCCATATTTGTCAGGCGGTCATTATGTTATGGCTAAGCGGTGTATCTCAAGGCCAGAGATGGTGGCAGACTGTTCCATAGAAGTCTGTAATATAAGGGCTGTAACGCGCAGGTACGGCCTGGATGTAATTAGTCATTGAAGACTGCAGCCATCGGATTGAGGTAAATCTGCATCTGTGGAGAGGGTGGGGGGAGGTTAGTTTAGACCAGTTTAAGAGGGGCAAAAAGGATAAGTGCACTTACCCTTTAATTATTTAAATGTTGTTCTATTTGACTGTTTTCAACTTGAATTCTTTGTAGGAATGCTTCAAGGTGCAGGAAGAAGGGTCGCCACCTCGATACCATCCAGAGCTCCTAAAGCCAAAACACTGCACACCAGGTCGACTCTGCGAGCTAAAGAGGACGACCCTGCGTACAAAGGAAACCTGTATGTTGTGGGTGCCAATGCACGCAACCCCATGAAAACAGTGGGCCTTGCATGGTAAGATAATCCACAGAGGACTATGTCCATACAAGTGGGATGTTTTGCTGTGGTTGGGGTATGTGTTCATGGGGGGTTTTATTCCACCCAAAAGAAAAAGAAGACCTAAGTTTAAGACTTAAGCTGGTCAAACTCACTAAACGAGAGACATCTTTCGATTTCCCCATCCTCAATAAATGGGGGCTGCCTATTGTGTTCTGATAGCTGGCTCTTGCCCCTGTCAGAATACCCGACCAGTGACTGCAGCTGATTGGCTGAAGTCACTGTTCGGCTGAGAATTGTCCACCCGGCTCCTTTGACAAAAGTTGATTAAAAATTGGTCTCCTGTGGAGCCGTGTGGTGCCAGCAGTGCCACCCAGAGATTGAATTCCGGCTAATTCACCAGGAAATGGACAATTCTCTCCATATATGGTCACCTTCAGTTCGCTATGTTCATGATGAGAGGATATTGGTGTCTTCCTAATAGTTTTTAGAACTATTGTGCTAAGATCTTGCTTTTAGTGTTGAGAACTTCCCCCTACTGCCATACTGTGTCCTCCAGATTAAAGGGAATGTTCAACAGGGAGATTGTAACTGGCTCATAATGGCTGTAAAAAGTGGGAGGAGCTGGGAACCCCCGAAATCAGAGCACTGAAATGCCTCATAAATGCAAGAAGTAGTTGATTCATCTTGTTGCTATCTATCCAAAATTGAGTGCAGGTCCACTTAAAATTACCTTTTCAGAATTCAAGTGTTAACTGTCTTGATGTTAGGACCTACAGAAATGCAAAACTTCCCTGGGAAAAATGTTGCTTTTGGCTCCCTTTAGTCCTGTTTACATGTTAAGAAGCCTAGGCAGTTGGTCATGTGATCTTAAAGGAAGAGGCGGATCAGAAGAGATTATGACCTAAGCTTAGGTGAGCAGCACTGCTGGCAGTTTGCAGCAGCATTTTCACCAGGAAATGTATTTCAGCTCTTTGGTCACTCCTTACTAGCGATGGGCTTGGGCATGTTCGCAGCTCCACGTGCCGAGCCCGCCAGGAAGCTGACAGCGCGCAGCACCAATCACAGGTACTGAGACATTTTCCCAGTCCGCAGCTACAGAGATCGGAAAATGCCACGGTGCCTGTGATTTGGCGCTGTCAGCTTCCTAGCGGGCTCGGCACGTGGAGCTGCGAACACGCTGAGCCCATCACTACTCCTTACACGTGTCAGGGACCAGAGCACCTCCAGGTGGCACTGTGGAGCTGGAACCTGATCCTGCAGTTCCAGTGCTCACCTGCAGTTGTCTCCCAGCAATTAGTCACCCCCTAGTGTTGATCTGGGAGGAAATTTGGCCTCTCCTTGCTGTTGAGCCTATGCCTCAGTATTGTTGCCATTTCCTGTTCCTGCCTTGAATCCTGACCCTTGCCCCTGAGGTCAACTGATGAGTGGCTCCCCTCTTGTTGTTCTGCTCCCCAGGGTTTGCCCTGTTGTCTCCAGTGTGTATTTTGTTATTTGTGTTAGTTAGGCTTTTATATGTTACTTGCGGGTGTTTATGGCTGTGGTGTTTTGGAGTAGCTAATAAATTATAGTTCATAAGCATTGTTTGGCGTGGTCACGTAATTGGCTCTCTTGTATAGATACCTGCACGCGTTGTGGGGACACTCGTGCACGGTATCATGACACCATGTCAGCAAAGACTATATGTAAGACGTGCTGGATCTGTAACTTACTGTTACACCTCATTCCCACTGAGCGGTTTATCGTGCAATTTCTAGAGTGAAATCGCGCATATTTCCACGCGATATCGCTCTATGTAGCTCATCCAATGCATTTCAATGGAGCTGTTCACATCTCGCAGCTCAATGTCGCCTGTAGCTCGTCGCTCGTACATGACCCTTTTTTGCGCGGATGTGGTGCGATTCGGCTCCAATAGACTCTATGGTGTCGCGCAAAATCGCACATTACCGGCGATATTGCGTGACTTCGCGCTACTTTTTGAACTGCACAATGGAAGAAAAGAATGATGTCCCATCATAATGGCTGTTAATTGGTTACAGCCCAATGTAGCAGCGACGGAAGTCCTGCCCAAAAAACGCGCTATGTAGCGCGATAAAATTTGCATTTTATATCGCGCTATGTAGCTCAAAGCCGTTTAGCACTAAATCGCGCGGAAAAAACGCGCAATACCCATGTCGCTCAGTGTGAATGGGGCCTTATGGAAAGTCGGTCCATTCTGTGGCGCTCGCTAGCTCTGGTGAAGCTGCCCTCATGAGACTGGATGCTCTTATATTAAAGTCAAAAGGTGTTTAGACCAGTCCAAATGCAGATGAAATCACTTGCAATGGATGCTGCTGCTTCTTGATGGTTAAGAGATTCTGCAGAATCAGCTGCTTCTCTGAGCACTGGCCCTGATATCCTGTTTTACGGGGGCTCCTTTCCCTTGCAGGGTCCTATGGAAGCCACACTTCTCTGTGCTAGTAAGCTGTGTGCGTCTCTGCAAATTCACAGCAAGGCGAGCTATTTCCCTGCTCTCCCCTCCTCCGCGATCCTCCCTTCTCCAATCTAGGAGATAGGTGGCTGCTGGAGACTGTTCTGTCCCTTGTGATCTTGTACTTGACAGGAAGTACTCAGCCTGCAGGAAAACTACAACTACTCTTTATTGGGCAGGAAAAGCCTAAGTTTATACTAACTCTGCTACTTGGGTGTAACTTTTTCCTTTTTTAGGAACAAATTCAAGTTTATTTGAACTTGTTGACTATTGTTCTGGCTCTCTTGTCATTGTTATTTCGACTTTCACTAGCTACATCTCAATGACAGAACACAGCTACACACCGACGTGAACTTGCACATCTGTACAGGTACGCATGCACA